CAGGAGGAACAGGAGCAGCAGATACTGACACACAAGACTAGAACCTCTCGCGGCTTCAGTGTGAACATTTTAATATATAAGTCGCACAGGAGTATAAGTCGCACCCAAAAACACCCAGGAAACACCCAAACCATGAAAAAGTGCCACTTATAGTCTCTTGCTATCTTTTTTGCTCCTTATTTAGATTTTATTACTACCATTTATATGTTTTACTCTATGTTATTATATTATTTTGTGATGTGTGAGCTTCTGTATCCAAATAATTTCCCTTGTGGATCTATAAAGTTTGTTTAAGTCTAAGTCTATAAAGTGAGTTTTAGCCGAGGGTCTGATTCACTATTTGTGCATTTACCATTTAGATATGGAGAATACAGTGTAATCAACAGGGAAAACATCTGGGAGCGTTATAAAATCTGAAATCCACACATCACAAACCCAGAAGAGCAGGGCTGCGGTGTTAGCGGCGTTAGGAGTTTCAGCTCAAACTTCATCCTGACCCCTGGGAGTTGTGACTCATGTTCACAAACTCATGCGAAGACTTCAGATCCACGCTCTGAAACGATAACCCTAAAGAAATAATAGATCGTCTTTTCCACCGTGACGTAAACAAAACATCTTCTACTCCAAATACAGAGTTTGTGCAAATTGAACAAGGTTTGGAGAAGACCTCAGCTAAAGGAGTACATGACAGCTTTTCTAGTGAAGTCCACAACCTGCTTGAAAACATGTCTATCTCCATGCAGACCAGCAGGTGACACCATCAGGCAAATTTACAGGTCAGATCTGTGGAGAGGCGACCTCGCTCACTGTAAGAATGCACGTTTTTCACTGTATTTTTGAGCTATAAAACCACCTAGACTGAAATAAATGCAACACACATAAGTTTACAGAACATTCGTGGTAAAACAATCAAAGCAATAACATCACTATGGAGACCAGCAGGTATCAGATCTTCCCTCAGGAAAAGTTACATGGTGCAGCTTTAAAGGTGCATTCTGTAACTTTTTGATGGATGGTCGGTCAAATGGAGATGTTATTGCTTTGTCTGGAATGTTTCACAGTATGACATTAAACCTTTACAAGTCAGATCTATGGAGAGGCGACCCCGCGCACAGACTCTGATTTAGAAAACTTTATTGATCCCATAGGGCAGTTCCTTTGCAGTATTCTCAGAGCAGTTCTCACTTCTCACATGCACACAAACACACACAGTGTGTCGGCCCATTACAGAGCACAAGTGGAACTCAGGCTACACTTACACAGAGAAACAAATATTTCCCGCCCTCTGTGCACATGGCATCGTTTTCAAGGAAGTTTTCATTTACATCAGCTCGCATAAATACACCATCAAGCACCGTCATAACTACACCAAGTCTCTGAGTAGCACCTGGATTAGATTCAAACCTGTAGCATTTATTTCATTACAGTTGTAAGTTTTACTCACAAATACCTTGAAAAACATGCATTACTGAGCGGGCTCGCCTCTCCACAGATCTGTTAAAGAAGTGGCAAAATTGCTGCCCTCTGAGCCTCATTCGTCTCTGGTCATGGACATGATTCATCAGCTGTGTGTAAATACAAGCACATGAAAACTGTTTGCAGCAGAAATGTGCCTGTTGCTCTGAATGCTCCATGATCAGAGTAAAAGATAAACATTGGTTGTATTTTTGGCACGTCAGCTCCTAAAACTCCGTTTATCTCACTTTATCCCACTTATCTCACGCAAATGCAAAACCGCAGTTTTCCAGAATCTCCACTCTAGCCGGAGTTTTTAGAAAGATTCGTTTTCAGAGGCAAATTCGACATATGTGTGTAAAAGATGTGAACAAACGAAGGGGAATGTCTCAGTTTTTAAAAATACCCACGTACATGTAAACAGGAACTCAATGATAATATACATGTTACAGTGCAAAACATTCAGAAAACTGTAATTTTGCTTTAAATTGAGCAATTTAATAGCAGAGGACACAAAAGAATTTTAGAACCAGTTAGTCTTTTCGGGACATAAAACCAACACCCTGAAGGCATGATGATAAAGTCAGGAGCCAGAGGATGGAGAGACACTCAGCACTTGCTCCTCCCACAAATAACGCAGCTCCCTCAGTTTGACCCCTGTGATTTTTGAGCAGGTTTTAACAATGTTCTGCAGTTTATTTTTATCACAGTCAGAATTCCTGTTTTTTTCTGGGTATTTTTGAGCTATAAAACCACCTGTAACTGAATAAATGTAAGGTAGAGCTGTTTAATTTCATACTGTGGAATATTCTAGGCAGAGTAATGACATCTCCATAGAAACAAGCAGGTGACGGACCCCCAACCAAAAAGTTACATAGTGCAGAAGAATGATTTCATACAGTATGTAATAAGAAATAGTCCACAATGGCTCATAGACAAGTATTTAGCTCATTTCCAGTTATTTCTTGTCTAATAGTTCTGTGTCTGTTTTATGGAAATGTGCTACAGTGGGACTCAGAGCTCCCAAAAGCAGCAGATTGTTTTGCAGTAGTTTGCTCCAATACTGTCAGGCACGTCGTTATAAACCACTCTGCGCTTTCCTCAAATTATGACATATTCTAAGTATTCGACATTTTTGCCAAACACTAATTCGGGAAATGAAGCTGCGTCTCTGGGGCTCTCAGCGTGAGGCGCGTTCAAAGTGCACGAGCAGGTTAGGGGCTGGCAGCGGAGGGGAGCGGAGCGGGGGGACGTGTTTGTACCGAACCCCAGACGGAGGCTTTGATTTGGGGAAATGGGGAGGAGGCAGGGTGCTCCGCAGACCTCCAGCTGTGCCTCTCATCTCACCCCTCCTCCCCCCGTCCTCTCCCGCTTCCTCATTTCCTCCCTTACTTCCTCGTTTCCTCCTCTGCTTCCTCATTTCCGTATTTCCTCTCTTACTTCCTTGGTTCCTCTCTTTGTTTAATCTCTTGCTTCCTTGTTTCCTTTCTTGCTTCCTCATTTCCTTGTTTCCTTGCCTTTCCATCAGTGGGTGACATGTCTGAGAAAACTGGACACGCAGAGAAGCGACAGATGTGACAGAGGCAGAGCTGGGTGACTAAAGTGGAACATGAGCACTCTGCAGGGATGGTCGTCCCATATGGATTTTACTTGATCAATACCGATGTCTGATATTGATGTCTGATATTGTAACAACAAAAAAGACACGTCTGCCAATAAAATATGGACTGAAAACTACCATGGAATAACTGAAACAGTGATTACTGATGCCTCACCATCATGAACAGCATTAATTAAACAAGCAAGAATAACGCGACATACAAGTGCAGGTAAGTTTTTTATGAGGAAACAACATTAGAATCTGGTTAAATGAGATAAAGACCCATTTTGCAGCAGTAGTGAAGCAGCCACAGGTGTCCTGGTGGCTGTCAATCTGCGCCATCAGCCTCTCCGACCACGTCCAGTCATTCACAACATTCATATTACGCAAAGTGAGAGAAGTGTCTTGCTGGAGGACACAACAACAGAACTTTGAACAAGCAGGAATTGATCCTCTAAGGTTGGAGGACAGATTTTCTACCCACTGAGACACTGCATTTGAATGACTCCTGCCCTCACATGCACTCTGTCTCTCGTGCACTCTCTCACACATGCACTCTCATGTGCACTCTCACATGCACTCTGTCTCACGTGCACTCTCACATGCACGTGCACGGGGGGCGCGGCGCTGCAGGGGAGGCTGATGACATCACAGGGCTGCTGCACAGACTCAGCGTGAGGTCACAAAATGAGGTCAGAGACGACGTCTGTGGCAGGTTTTATGTGGGAGAAAACAGAGGCATCTGCAGAAGTTACACTTTAAAGTTTAAAGCGCTGATCGCTCGGCATGAAACATCAGAAATACTAAAAGAATAAAAGCACAATTCTGAAAGTTGCTCTGCCAAGTTCTGTTTCATCCCTGCTGACCGCCAGAGGGCGCTGACAGCACTGAACGACTCCCTTCATGTGCAGGGAAGAAGAAATGAAATTTCTAAAACACGTCCAGGAACAGTAACACTTGTGAATTTAAATTTCAATAATAAGATTAATTATGCAGCTCTATTAAACTATTCCATCTAAATGACTTTGTATGAAACACTGGATTACAGATATAAAAATGACAGATCATGTTGTGTGCGTGTAAGGGCATCAGGTTTAAAACCATAACTGTGTTTCCAGAGCACATTAGATTAGTTCAGTGTTAGCGCTGAGCCTGATGTGTGGCCTCATCGTCTCGTGCACAAAATGAAAGTGATTTTTCTGAACTGATCGGGCGCGGCTCTTTGGATAAACAGGAATACGACTATTTTTCCATATAATGTGATTAGGCTCCAGTGTTCAGGACTCTCCGTGTGACGAGCATGTTCCCACTCGTCATAAAAGCAGTTTACATGGCACCACATTTCAAACTGTCTTTGGGCAAATTACAAAAACTGTCTTTTCAATTATAATTTTGTATTCCTTTCACCAGATTGTACAAAATGTTTTCATGTGGTGGTCCTTTGAAAATAAATGTAGCAGTCACAGATAAGAGTCATGTATCTTCCACGGTGGAGAGGAAATGTAGTGTATTAAATGTGATGTTTTGAGTTGTAGTTAAGAGTTAATAGTTGATCTACCACACGCTGCATTCTAAATAGGCAGTGAGGATGGACTCTGTTTGACCGCTGTGAGTCTGATTTTGGTCTTAAAATGTTCATATCAATCTGCTCTTCATGATCCTTATTCTTTTTTGTTCACTATTTTGTCCCTAAATCAAGTTATGAACATTGAGATCCAAGCTGCTTCTTCAGTTCTGGTCGGACGCTGCTGGACGCTGCCTTATGTCTGCCTGAAGGGAGGAGCTAACTACATTGAAACTACTCTGAAACGTTTGTCCAAACTTTTGTCCTTTTGCCATGGATTCTACCTGGACGACGGAGGGATTTTACAAATATCCTCACTCCTGATCGGCTCTTGAAATGTCTGGTGTCTGTAGAGTGACTGACGAGTGTGATGTTTGGTACCTGAGCCTGGAAGATGAAGGGACAGGACTTTGCAGAAGACCTCATGGACCTCTGAAACTGACCACGGATGTCGTAGTGACCCGGCCCCGGAACGCCCTGGAAAAACAGACCAAAAAAACACTGATCACACAAAAGACAAAAAACAGGACACAAGAGAAAGGACAGAAGAGGAGGAGGACAGATGGGAGAATAGAGAGAAGGACAGAGAGGAGGAGAAAGAGGAGGAGAGAGAGGAGAATAGAGATGAGGAGAGAGGAGGACACAGAAAAAGAGAGGAGAGAAAGGAGGACAGAGAAGAGGAGAGAGGAGAATAGAGAGGAGGACTGAGAGGAGGAGAGAGAGGAAGGATGGAGAAAAGGACAGAGAAGAGTAGAGAAACCAGGACAAAGAAGAGGACAGAGAGGAGGAGAGAGAGGAGGATAGACAGGAGGACAGAGAAGGAGGGAAGAGAGAAGAATAGAGATGAGGAAAGAGGAGGACACAGAAAAAGAGAGGCGGAGAGAGAGGAGGATGGAGAAAAGGACAGAGAAGAGTAGAGAGAGGAGGACAAAGATGAGGAAAGAGAGGAGGAGAGAGAAGAAGAGAGAGGAGGAGAGAGAGGAGGGGAGAGGAGAAGAAAGAGGAGGAAAGAGAGGAGGACAGAGAAGAGGAGAGAAGAGGAGAGACGAGGACAGAGAAGAGGAGAGAGGAGGAAAGAGAGGAGAATAGAGATGAGGAGAGAGGAGGACACAAAAAGAAAGAGGAGGAGAGAGAGGAGGATGGAACAACGGACAGAGAGGAGTAGAGAGGAGGACAAAGAAGAGGAGAGAGAGGAGGATAGCGAGGAGAATAGAGATGAGGAGAGAGGAGGACACAGAAAAAGAGAGGAGGACAGAAAGGAGGATGGAGAAAAGGACAGAGAAGAGTAGAGAGAGGAGGACAAAGAAGAGGACAGAGAGGAGGACAAAGAAGAGGAGAGAGAAGGAGAGGGGGACAGAGGGGAGGAGTGAGAGGAGGAGAAAGGAGGAAAGAGAGGAGGACAGAGAAGAGGAGAGAGGAGGATAGAGACGAGAACAGAGAAGGAGGAAAGAGAGGAGAATAGAGATGAGAGAGGAGGACACAGAAAGAGAGAGGAGGAGAGAAAGGAAAATGGAGAAAACGAGGACAAAAAGATGACATAGAGAAGGACAAAGGAGGAGAACAGAGAAGAGAACAGAGGAGGAGGGTGTTCCACAAAAAAGCTCCAAGAGAAAAACAAAAAAGTTCAACTGGAAACCAACAGGACGTAGTGAGGTTTGTATTCAGTCCAGTCCAGAGAAAATACAGTGCACTCAGGTCAGGCAGCTCATTCCACCACAAGGTTTTGCTACAAACTGTAACTCGTTTTATCCAGAGCTAAAACTTTGGTGAAGATTATAACTTGACTTTTTGGTTGGACATGGGAAGTACTTGTCCTTGGGCAAGACACCCTCCTTGCATTTAATGTCAATGTACGCTGTTGTATGATTTAGAGCGGGGGTCTGCAACAATTTTAGTCCAGTGAGCTCCTTTACTAAACAAAAATGCCAGAGTCCAATGAGATTCATTTGGTCTTATGATAATTTATGTTACTAGGCTCTTTTTTCTGACCAAGAGTTTGTTTTCATCCTTGACACTTTCGACTGCTCACTTGCGCTCTTCCTCAGAGTCACGTGATGTTGCCGTGACGTGTCCGATCAGCTGATTTATACAGGTTTTGGCGCTGTCTATTTACTGTAAGAAGCCCGCTCCTGAGAAGTCGAAACTTCCAGGTATGAAAACAAACTCTCGGTCTGAAAAAAGAACCTAATAAGAGAGCTACTCATTTTAGTGGTGACAGGAAATTGAGTATATAAGAGCCATGGCAAGCCTTAGATGAAGTACTGTTAGATGCCTATTAAAACAAACCATTATCCATTTATTAATGTACAAAGTTCAGCATCAAAATGATACATGTACAGTGCTAAAAGACATTTAACTAATGTTATTTATTCTGCACAATAAGTGTCATTCAGAAATCCCTTGGCGAGCTACTTGGAAGGGGTTGGAGAGTAGCTCCCGAGCTGCAAGTTAGAGACCCCTGATTTAGAGTCTATTGATATTTTACAGCTGATGTCATCAATATTTCCTGGGGATGTGAAGCTAACCGAAAGCACTGCTGTGTCTGAAGCTCTGTTACTCAAATTAGACTTTAATCCGAGCTTTGTTTTAACACCATCTGCACAGAAAGAACGGACTTAATTGAAAATACAAGAGCTGATTTGTGCTGTTGAACAATTCTCTCACACATAAAATTACAGTTACAGTACAGCCAACAGTTTTTCAGTCAGTCACTTTCGCCTTTTTGTTGAAAATCAAACTCCTAATCAGGACCGTGAACGCTCGTATTGATCACAGGCTCCTGAAAATGTGCTGTTTCAGTCCATTTTGTATTGTTTTTCTTGAGTTTTCAGTTCTTTTTTGACAGCGTTTGCTAATGTGTGCATAGTGTCAGCATGGTAACTCCTTAAACATTCCACCATTAGCGATACATGTAGGACTCCCCCAGCGCCATGTCACTGCACAGCCTCAATATCTGGAACAATATTTTAGGAAAGTACCCACTACGCCACCACATTTCCCCCAAAGTTTGCAGCATTCCTCTGTCAGGGTTAAAACTCCGTCTGTAAGTTTTCCACAGTGTAAAAAGTCTCCGTGCCACAGTGAAACTATAGGAAGCCCCAAAGCCCAGCGTGTCCTCAGTCCAGGCTCATTCTTATTCATGAGAATCCACTATACTGTCCTCCCCCAGAAACACACCGGCTCACACACCACAAACCTGCAGCTTAAGTCACACTGCAGCCACCGCGTATGGAACACTTGTTATGGACTTGTTTTTGGGTTTATCAGATCAAATCTACACGTCAGACTCCGATTTCTCTGCTGAAAGTTTCAAAAGAGCGACAGGAACTTTTGGGAAGGTGGTACAAATGTAGAAATGTTGAATGACAAGCTCCTCTTTCCAAGTCTAAACCATAAACTGTAATAATAATAAAGGATTTACGTCTTGGGGGCTGGATTTTAGTCCCCACTTAGTGATCGGTAAATACTAGTTTAATCACACCACACGTTTAAAATATGAGACAGAATTATTAAAGTGTAAATATAGATGGCCACTACTGTATTTTTTAAGTCACTCCGGAGTATAAGTCGCACCAGTCAAAAAATGTGTAATGAAGAAGAAAAAAACATATATAAGTCGCACTTTTTGGGGGGGAAATTAATTTGATAAAATCAGAGACCAGAAACCGACATTTCATCTCTAAAGTCAAGTTCTAGTAAAAACAATAGAAGAGAGAACAACAGACTGTTAACGTCACATATGAACAGTTCTTCAGATAAACTATAACATAAACAACAGAACAGAACAAGTTTAACAAACATCTCACTCTCATCTCACTAAATCCATTCAATTCTTCATCCTCGGTGTCACTTCTGAGCAACTCCTCGACCTCCGGAGGTAAACAGAGCGACGCTTCCTCTTCTGTGTCGCTGTCATCAGACTCAGCATCAGTTCCAGTTAGCATTATTCTGGTCTTTCTGAATCCCGACAGGATGGTTTCGGTGTCACTGAAGTCCAGGCTTTGTCGATCCATCCAGTGACTTCCAGAAAAGTTTCATGGTGCATCCTCCCGGTGTCATAGTTTCTTGCTCACTCCAGACTTTCTTTCTTCTGCTCAATTACCGTTTTCAGCTGCATATTTCATGACTTACAGCAGGACCATAGACCGTATATATGACTGGACATAGCTAACGTACTAGCCACCGTGCCAAATAGGAAGTTCGCCAGGAGGCTCTTCCGGCTCCTTCTGACTCTGGCTCCAATTGACTTACATTAGGATCTTGTCTCCTCTCTCTCTGTAACTGCAGCTGTGAGCCTCGCCATTTTGGTCTTAAAATGTTCGTATTAACCCGCAACACATGATCCTGTTTTATTTTTTTTCGCTATTTTGTCCATTAAAAGCACTGTGGGTGACATCACACTCGCATAGTCCACTTCTTTTATTCAGTTTATGAACAGGACACATGCAGGAGACATGCACAGTAGAGCCATGTGACAGTGGTACAGGAGGAACAGATACTGACACACAAAACTAGAGCCTCTTGAGTGTGAAGATTTTAATATATAAGTTACACTGGAGTTTAAGTCGCAGGAAACACCCAAACCATTAAAAAAAAGTGCAACTTATAGTCCAAAAAATACAGTATTTGTAATTTTAATGAATTCAATGAGAAGCTACTAGAAAATAGATCAAAAGATTCAAAAGATTCCATCTAAACACTATCCTGTCCTCTGAAGCAGACTAGAGGGGTGCACAAGTTAAACGTACGGCTTAAAGGTGCACTGTGCAACTTTTCTGGCAGAGTGCTGTAGATGTTAGTGTTTTTCTCCAGAATGTTCTACAGGATGGCATTTAATTTAACTCTCCACATTCCAAGGCAAAGTTACAGGCCAGATTGGTGGAGAAATGGGCCTGAGAGAAGAAGAAGAACACCTGTAATCAAATCAATACAAGCTATACATTTTTAATGCCATACAGTGGTACATTTCGGGTAAAGCAATAACATGTCCATGAGCAAAGCCGATGGCAGACCCTCCGTCAGAAAAGCTGCACAGTGCACCTTTAAAAAAAAACAATGTCTGAACACGAATATTGGTTTTATTAATGATTTTCTATGCGGGTGAAATTGCATTTGCAAACTCAATCTCCTTTTTTCAGCCTGTTCTTACTAGTATATTGACATTGATTTGTGTGTGCATAAACTGAGCCTGTATGAATCACCTGAATACCAAACTACTATAACAACTACAACAACTACAACTATAAAGTATTCTGTTGGATTCAAAGGCGAAACAGGCACAAGTGGTCGAAGAGCAAGTCCCAACACTGACATTTCCAAGCTTCATTTTGATATTAAGGAAAAAGCTCAATCCTCTACACCTGTTTTGATTCTTCAGTGATACAAACATATAGAGCTCCAGCACCCACATGACTAAGGCCCCGCCCACACAAGTACATATTCGAGTTGTTTTCGTTGTGGATGCAGTGTTCATCCAC